ATCTTTTTTTCATTTCTGTAAGCCACCCGGAGTCCTCCGCGATTGGGCGGCATAGAAATTTAATAAATGAAATGAAATGAACCGGTTCTAAACTGCATGGTAGATTTATGGAACCTCTTCTATAGAAGAGGTTAGAACTGTCAGGAACCCACCCCTGGCTCAATTGTGGCCATAAGTTAAGACTACCTGTATAGCTGGGTGTTCTTTTTCTAGACATCTCTTTTATAGTACATCTTTGAACTATTCTATTTTATTTATCTTTGTTTTCTACTGACAAAAGTGAGGCAGCCCATTTAAATAAATAAGCAGCAGGATGAACGTTTGTCACATCTGACGTCTTGCTAGAGATGACTGAAATTGGACATATCCTTCACCTTTACATGAATCAATAATTTAGCTCAAAGAGTAAATTGAGCAATTTTATTCATTTCCCCCAAAAAGTGCTTCAACAACTGCAGTGTTGTCTAGCTTTTACGTGAGAGCTACAATGGTATTTGCATGCATACTTCTCCAAGCAAGTCTTATCATGTTCAGTGGAGCTCACCTAGGATATTCATGTGAGAAAGATCTCACTTTGAGCAAATTCTAGAAGAATTTGGCAAGCTGCAAAATGGGTCTGAAAATTTTTTTGACCCAATCATCTTTTTCAACACAATCCTTTGAACTGAATCGCTGAAAGAATAATCTGATCTGCCAAATGTAATCCATCAAATCAACTTGGATTTTCCTTTCTTTCTTTCAAACATTGGTGTGTTAGAATGATTTAACAAAGCGGCCACCTTGAGCTTAGAACAGTATGGGGCTGGACTAGAAGACCTCCAAAGTCCCTTTACAGAACTGTGTGTTCTGTATTCAACAATGATTTCAAAAGTGGCCCATTGAAGTGGGAAGTTATTCTCCATTTTTAAATGGGAGAGACACTTTGCTCCCCTAAATGGAATTGAAGGAAAATGAAATGAAATGAATTTATGAAGACAACAGCAACAAACGCTTTTTCAATATTTCCAATTGGTGCCTCTAAGCAGAGCGTATCTTCTTTGCTGAAGAGCAATAAATAATGCTGAGGTAGTCCTTGACTTACACAATTGAGCCCAACCTTTCTGTTGTTAAGCGAGACAGTTTGTTGAGTGAGTTTTGCCCCATTTTGAGGCTTTTCCTGCCCCATTTGTTAAGCAAATCAAGGCCCTTGTTAAATTGGCAACATGCTTGTTAAGTGAATCTGACTTCCTCACTGACATTGTTTGTAAGAAGGTCACAAAAGGGGATCCTGGGACACTGCAACCATCATAAATATGAACCAGTGGCCAAGCATTTGAATTTTGATCATGTGACCATGAGAATGCTGCAACAGTTGTTAAGTGTGAAAAACACCCATAAGTCACTTTTTTTCAGTGCTGTTGTAACTTCGAACAGTCATTAAAGGAATTGTTGTAAATTGAGGACTATCTGTATGTGTAAAATAATATTAAATCTCTCTCTCTCTCTCTCTCTCATCTCTCTCTCTCTCTCTC